TTAAAATCAGATCCCTTTCACATGAACTGATTTCTAGCACGTGGCAATCCAATTCTCTGTGACTGTAGTTTCCTCATTAATTATGTATTAAAAGCAATTCTGAGAAAGAAACCCAAGTCAAGTAGATCATTTTCCTGTACTATTTATATTTGGGCGCAGAAGGAATTTCTTGTTTCTACCTTATAACTTCGGATAACCAAGGCTGGGTGAGCCATGTAGCCTGAATATACTATCTGGACTCTATAAGGAAAATTTAAAACCATTAACTCTTAAACAGATTGGTGTGAAAAATGAGGTATTTTACCCACCGTAGAGAGAAGCTGGAGTTGGATCCATTCTCTGCGATTTTCCCAACCAATAGTTGTTTTAAAACAAAAGAAAGTGTGAATTTCCATCAAGTGACCTGCTTAATAAGTAAAGGAATGCTGAGTTCAGGACATAGCCCAGTGGTAGAGCTCTTGCCTGGCAGTACAAGGCCCTGGGTTTGATCCCCAGCACTAGAAACAACAGCAATAATAATAAGTGAAGGGAAGCAAATTTATTTGTGGCTCTGAAATAAGGCCAACCCTTAAGAATTAAGAAATAGGAATCCAAAAAAAAAGTTCCTATTTTATTTTGCTGTCTCTTCCCATATAATTTCCTTAGTGCAAAATTTCTCTATTTTGATGAGGAACTTGAACATGAATGAAGGAGGTGTGGGATTTCCCCTCTTATCATTAGGCATCTTACCCTACCCTACGCTGAGTAACTGAAATTTCAGAGGCTGATTGTCCCAGTTTTATAGACCAAAAACCAGGATTGTATTTCGAAGTGAGCACAGATCGTGAGTGTTCAAGGAAATCTCTACGTCCCAGTGGAAAGGAATTGTAGGACTCTGGAGTGGATTATGGCTAATAGGCAGTCTTGTGGTACCTTTTCTGAAGCACCTGGGATAGCACTGGGCTGTACCTCCCAATGTCTTACCCAGGACCCCCACAGTATCTACCCCATGACTGATAAGGAGCAGCCAGGAGCAGTATTTGAGATTTGAAGTGTATAAGTGAATGCTGTTCAGAAGGATGGTAAGGTCTTAATGAAAGGATTTCTAAAGTCTCAAAAGCCCAAGGCTAGGATGTGCAATTCTCAGAGCTCTTGGTAGACTCTCAGCAGTCACTGAACTCAGAGATCTATTGATTTGGTACACCCAGTCACCCAAAAGCTAAGGGAGGACTTAGGTTTACTTTGGGTGGTAGGACTTGCCGGGAGCCACCTCAATTGGAAACCCAGGGTCCTTATCCAAGCCACAGTAGACCAGATAATAAATATCCAGTTGACAGAAGAGTAGGAGGTTTCCATGGGCAATAGAAGTGTTTCCTCTCCATGCACTTCTTTCTTCCATGCAACAAACAGGGATATGTTAGGAAGTCAAATTTCATTAAAGCCCCTCATAAGAGGAGCTTGAAAAAAATGATTGCAACCCTCTGTCAGAGGGTGATGACAGTACACAGTACCCTGACAGCCTGAGGCAGGACAATGAGTCCTGTCTATAATAGCAATAGATGGAGATTGAGCTGAGTCCTAACGAATGAGTTGGAGTTTGCCAGTGGAGATAAGGAATATTAGGTAGGATAAAGAATGAGTGGAGGGAAACTGAAAAGGTTTACTTTTGACAAGAGGGGCCCCTGCACCCACTCTTCCTCTCCCCATCTCCTCACTGCCACATGAACCTATTTGCTCTTTGCCAAACACAGCCTGTCCTGGCATATATCAGTGTTTCACAGCAAGGATGCTCTTTCTCCCCTTGTCTTCCTCCCAAGTCTTTACCTTGCTTACAAGATCCAGATTAAAGGTCATTCCCTCTTTAGCCCTCACAGGCTGAGCAAGCCATTCTTTTTTCTTCATTCTGAAAGCATCAACCTCAACTGCTGTACTTGTTCTGTATGCAGTATTTTAATTCTTCTCTATTTCCTTTTTCACTATGAGTTTTTGTAGCACCATTTCTTTTTTATCAGTGCACCTTGGACAGCTACAATAGTGCTAGACAATAGTTATTTCTGCAATTGAATAAGAAGTATGACATTTCTTGCTGCTGGTTATACCAAATACTGCCTCAAACCTAGCAAGAGAAGGGTTCAAGATTAGCCTATGAAAATGTAATCATAATATCACTTATATGTAGAAGGATCCAGAACAGGATCCCTGTTTTTTGACTCTTTGTATAGTATTCTTTGTAAAATTCTAAAACAATCTATGTTCTTTAGAAAAGAATAGAGGATCATATAATAAATATCTGTGAGTTTTCCATATAAAATGAGCAAATGTTAACTCATTCTCACATTTGTTTTAGTGATTCTTTTAAGAAATAAGTAGTGTGTGTTCATTTCTTCACAGAAATTATACACTGATGGATAGTAAAGCTAGTTTTTTTCTCCAATGAATAGTGGAATTGTCACCATCCTTACTATACAAGATTCTTGTGTACATTTCCTGGCATGGGAAACTAGAAACAAAGTTGCTGGTCATAGGAAATGCCTATCTTCAAACTTACTCAACCTCATTGTCAAATTGCTCTCTGAAGTTTTTACTTCAATTTCCACATCTACCAGCAATATATGAGTATTCCTACTTTGCCCGTATTCTCAGCAACACTTAGTATTGTCAGACATTTTAATTTTTGCTAATCTGAATAATATAAAGTGGTATTCAGAATTGCTTAAATATGCATTTCTGTATTGACTAGAGGAATTGAATATTTTTCATATGTTGATTTACAGCCTTTTGCTTTTCATATTTGTTGCAAAAAATCATCTTTCATTCTTTTCTTTTAATATGTTTATGGTATCTTTTTGTCATTCAGAAATTTAGGCACTTCTTGTAGACAATATATGCCTTCTACTAAGAAACAATTCCAATTTTTCATATATGCTGTAAGAAACTCTGCATGACCTGAGGTCATAAAATCTTCTGTAATTCTTCACACAGATTTAAATTTTCATTGTTCCCATTAGTTTTAAAATACATCTAGGGTTACACTCACTATAAAATCATAATCTAATTTTTTTCCCATTTAAAAACCCATTTGTCACAGCATCATGCATTGAAGCATTTATTTTCCCTCTCCGGTCTGAACCACCTCTCTCACTGTATAGCCAGATCTCACAGAGGTTGAGGTTTGGGCTGTGTCAGTCAGTGTTCCATTGCTATAACAAATATTTGAGATAACCAGCATTAAAACAGGCTCACAGTTTTAGAGGTCTATGTTCATTCTTTTTGGGTGGACCCATTCCTTTTGGGCCTGTGATGAGGCAGCATATCATGGTGGGGAGCAAGAAGTGAAAAATACCCTTCACTTTGTGGCTGCCAAGGAGAGGAGAGGAAAAGACCAGAGTTCCATAATCCTCTTCAAGGGCACACCCCCAATGACCAAAGACTTCCCTGGAGACCTCAGTTCTTAAAGGTTTCACCACCTTCCAATAGCACCAAGCTGAAGGACCTAGAGACATTCCAAACTCAAGGTGGGAGCAGGCCAGCCCACTCATTCTACTGTTATGCCATGTAGCAGGTATTTCAGGTCATTATATCAGATGGAGCAAGCTCTCTCACCTTGTTCTTCTTTTTCAAAGTTGCCTTGCTTACTTTTAGACCTTTAGTCTTCATTTCATTTTAAAATCAATATTAAAGTTTCACAAAAAATCCTTTCAGAATTGTTCCCAAAATTGAAGGTGTACATTAATTCAGGGAAAATAAGATAGCTTTATGAAATGGAGTCTCTCCTTATAGGACCATAACATAATGTATAACTTTTGTTTAGGTAGGACATGTTTATCATTTCTAGATAAGAGACAGAGAAAAACAAATTATTCTCATAGACATGGAATTCTACCAACCAAAATGAGAATTCTTAGGAATATTGCACCATGAAAAGAGAGCCTTAAAATCTACATTCCTCTTAAATGCCTATAAAATAGTTTGAGGCAAGGAAAACATAGCAAGAAATAACTCTCTACAAGTTAAAGTTGCAATGAATGCGTATAAAAGAAACCATTGGGAAATGTTTGCAGTACACAATGTCAGAGGAGAAAGAACAAACTAACCTCAACCATCATCAGTAGGGCAGGCAAAGATGTGGGTTTCAGCTGCAGCAGATCTGTAAGCGAAAGGCAGGAAGCATTGCAGCTATGGACCACAGTGAGATCGAACAGAAAGAGCTAGTGTGCGCTCGCTGTAACTCAGTATGAATGCTCTGGGAAATGTCTATGAGCTGAGTTGAAGTCATAGAAAATGCTATCACGAAACAGTAAAAAGTAAAAGCAAAGTCAGACTCAGATATAGGAAATAAAAAAAGGCCTAACCAAATCTAAAAACTTATGGTAACGTGTTTCAGGGAAGGTTTCCCTCTTTTTCCAAAGAGAATTCCTTTTTAATATAATGCAGAGCTAAATAGATTTTCTTCTTTTATTTATCAGTATGACTAATTACATTAGATTTCTTTCAATGTGTAACTCTTAGTGGCTTCCTGAAGTAAACGCCACCAGTTGATTAATTACTATTTTGGATTCCTGCTGAATTAGTTTTGCTGATATATTACTTAAGGACTTTGCATCTATATTTATGAATGAAATTGGAGTTTTGAAGGGAGTGCCGTAAATCTTTGTTTTTTTCTGTTTGTGCTAATTTCTTATTTAAAAGAATTGGAATAGTTTTTCTTCTCTCATCAAAGATGTGACACCTATGAAACTATGTGGACCCAAGGGGTTTTTTTTTGTTTGTTTATTTGTTTCTTACTTTTCAGTGAATGAGTAGTGGAAAATGGAGGGGGTGTAGAATTCTTCAACAAAAAATTCGGGAACTCTTAACAGAAAGTCTAAACAGCCTTTCAAATAATTCCCAAAGTTCTTTTAGTTTCAGGTACCCAATTAATGGATAGATTAAATATAAAATGATAGACCGTTAGGACAAATCATACAAGGTGAAGACAAATGAACGCTTAACTCAAGCAACATCTGCTTTTGTTTCCCTAGGTCAGGAAGTGTGCTGCACCACTGGAATGAGATCTATTACTTTGTGGAACAGCTGGCTCACAAATTCATCAGGTGAGAAGTGTCTATACTTGCTTCTTTTATATGCTTCTCTGACATGGGTAAAATCACCCCACATTTGCTGTCCTACTAACTCCTAACCACTTTTTGACAAAGGTGGATTCTCAAGCCTTGAACCAGGACTGCTCACTTTGTTTTGCTGTATGCCACACAGTAGAATAAATTTGCCTTAGTGTCTTCAGGAGGAGACAGATTTGGTTAGAAGATCAAAAGTGTTAATGTTCTCCCTTCTTTGTTGAATAATATATTCTTGAAGAAAGATCACCTTTTTTTTTTACACAGTGCATAATTGCTGAGGCAATCGGCAAAATCTAGAGGACTCATGTGTAGGGTGTAAGATAACAGACTCATCTCGGTTTACCCACAACTTTCCTGGTATTAATATTGAATGTCTCAAATCCTGGGAAAACTCCTTACTCCTGAGCAAGTCATGGTGGCTTGTCACTCTATCTATGTGCCCTATGAGAATCCCCTGCCCATTCTCAACACCATTTTCCCAGGCAGAATTGAACATGGTCACTTAAATATTGTAAGAGCCCTGAAGGTACTACTTTCTAGTAAATAGTAAAGGAAAGGGGGTCACATTGCCCTCCAAGGGATGACACAACTGTGATAGCACTGATAGATGTGCTTAAAGCAGGTCGTCTTTGGTAAAATTGGTCTGACCATTGTAAATTCTCACACAGCTTCACTTCATGCTCAATGGCCTCCATGGAGTCTTCCAGTCAATGGGTGACATAAAGCTCTCCTTTGAATAAGGTTCTTCATCTCAGAACACAGGGTGTCCTCTGAGTCCATGTTAATGATAGACAGCTTCCTCTCAAGCTCACTTATTGACTAACATGTACCTACCTGCCTAATTAGAGGGAATGGGTTAAGCGATGCCTCTCTGCAATGCCATAAATTGGAAGCTGCAGCAGGAATCACCTAAATGATTGGGGGAAACAGATGCTGAGAGGAGATGAGGGTGAAAAGATACAGGGCAAAGAGAGAAGCAAGTATGTGAGTGGTGTTAAAAATATTTAGGAGACTCATTGAAACTTAGAATGGAAAGGAACAACTTCCCAATCTATTCTAGAAGGCACTCAATTGCCCTCACCTTGAATAGCTTGGTGAGAAACTGCTATCTTTTCACTTGCAAAAAGTCCAGTGGTTGGGCAATTCCAACTTTCCGAAGTCTTTCTTGTCATTGAGTCAAAATGTCCTTTCCTGCCCTCTCTTCCATTGGTCATTTGCAGTGACATAAAACACATCTGCCTCCAGACACTTGAAGTATCTGTTCTGTCTCCACTGCCATCCTGTCTTCTCCCTCCACAGCAGAGGAGTCCAGTGGCAAGGCTCTGAAGTCAGGCAGATGTGGGTTTGAATCCAAGCTCCATTGTGCAATCATAGCAGTCTACTTACCTTGGCTGAACTGTGGTTTCCATGTGAGGATTAAACAAAAAGCACAAGCAAGGCAACTGCAACTAATCCAGCTCTGTCTTAGAGTGGGCCCACAACATGTCATCCATGAAGATGTTCCAGCATCTTCAGCAGTTCCAGATTCTTTGAATCAAAGAAAGTAAGGGAATGTGGGATTCAGAGAACACTTAGTCTAATCCTTTTGCTTTTCCGATGAAGAAACTGAGGACTGGAGAAGGTGGCATGGCTTAATCCAGACCACCAAGCACTTTACTCTGGATGTCTCCTCTGGCTTTCTTGGCTATGGACTCCTCAATGTGTGGCACCAAGACATCATGCAATTCCCATAAGACAGAGACTTTATTTTGTTGACTGTCATAGCCTGAGTGACCATAACAGTGTCAGTCACAAACTACATGATCAATCAGTATTTTTAAATGAGTGAATAAGTGATGACTTTTACTTTAGTCATTTTTAAAAAATAGTCTAAGGCAGCTGGTACTGCAGGGAAGAAATTCATTCAATGACAGTGATTGATTCAGTACAAATATATTATTCGTAATTACGATGGGATCCTTAACATGTCAAGTCCTTTTGTCTTTATCCTGAGTCTCTCCTCTCTTCCTAATAATAATTCTAATTCTTCAGCACTTTCCTCAAGCCCCCAACCTACATCTCTTACCCACCTTCCTCAGCAAAGAGCCCCACCACCTATCTCATCAAGAACCCAGAGGGGAGCAGAACAATTGCCTCAAATTCCAATCGTGTTCCTAAAAGTTACATAAATGTCCTTCCCTCCAGTCCCTGAGAGCCATGCATCCTCCCTTTTAAAGCCCAACCGATCCATTTTAATCCCATTTTATACCATGTCTAGTCTCCTACTGGTCTTTGTTTCTCTCTTGTATTTCCTCTTCCATTCTCATGGCTCCTTCTCCACAGACTTCAGACATAAGCTAATTTCTTTTGTCCCTTGTCTCCAAAAGAAAGAATGACAACACATCTCCTGATGTCTCTCTGCAGATTTAGCATGATTCTTTGCTGGTTTGTCACTCATATATCTTTAAGGACTTGCTCTCATCACATCCTTACTTCTCATTCATTCCTTGGTCCGTGCCTTCTGGTCTCTGTCCCCAACCTCCCCCTGCTAGTTCACCATGGCCTCAATGAAGAATCCAGTGATCACCCTGCAGTCCTTAGTCTGCTGGATGGTGGGGTTTCAACTGGTGCCGATTTTTCCCTCCTCAAAACTCTCCCCTCCACTGACTCGTGGTTCTCTTTTCATCTCACTGACCTTAGCAGCCCTTTCAGTGCTGTTGGTGCTGGTTCCATATTTGGCTCACTTCCATTCTTACTGTGGACCCCTTCTCTAAACAACTTGGCCCCATCAGTTGATAATTTCCATTTATCAATCTCCAGTGTAGACTTATGTACTCATACGTGTCTTGGAGACCTATACTCCCCACATTTCAAATCCATTCTTTCCAGAGCTGAATTCAGTAGTAAAGAAGACAAAGTAATATGATGGTTAGGAGCCCACATTCTAGAATCAGAGCGTTCAAGCCCCAATCCACAGTCCCCCACTGTGTAACCTCAGGAAAACTGCTTCATCCTTAAGGGAAAATAAAAATGATAATATTGTGTCTCAAAAAGTTGTTCCAAGTTTAATAAGATCATACATTCAAATCAGGATAGTGTCTGGCACATAGTGAGAACTCAATTTAAAAAACCCTTATTATATTACTGCAATCACTATGACTGTCATTATCAGGAAGAACACTGTGTCCCATGCTCCACAGTATGGGAGTATCATGGACAGAGAACTGAAGTCTGTGTCAAGAGACCAATGTTAAGTTCACCAGGTATTTCTTAGGCTCCTACCAAGTACTAAACACCATGCTAAGGGTTTCCAGAGATGTGTCAAACACATGGGAGTAACACAGACTTTATTCTGGAGGCAGTAGGAGACATTAGAGGTTTTATTACAAATAATAAGATTTGAATTATGTTTTGGAAGATAATTAGGGGAGCAGCGTGAAGAATGCTTTGGAACAATGAATGATGCTAGGTAAAGGCTCCAGCTCAGAAACCCCTGCAATGATCAGACGATTGAGGCCAAGTCCTACACTAACAGGTGAAAAGGAGCCCAGGTTAGAGAATTGTTTGGGGGAAGTAGGAACTATAAGGTTTGGAGCCAGATCAGGTGAGAGAAGCTATTGCCTTGTGAAGAAATAGGTTGATGCTATCATGGGTGAACTAACTGGCCACCCAGGGAGAGTCACACAGGATGGCTTTGCATCACTGAGCCCACTGAGTCCATCTTGCAGACTAAGAAACATGTTTGGTTCTCAGCTGAGAGTTGTGCTGTCTCCTAGAGTGTGAATTTTACAGACAATCCTCTTGAGCCCTGCTTATCAAAAGGAGGCCAATTTGGTCATTAAAAACAAGAAATGTAACTACCAAGTGGAATAGTCTGTGGCCAGACAATTTATTCTTTCCTTAGAGGATGACCTCCTTGAACAGCCAAGGAGAAATGAAGAGTTAATGGTGATCACACTTGCAGAAAAAGGGAGGTTGTTGTATTATGTCAATGGCTGTGGCATCAAACTGCAACAGTCTGAGACACTTTCCTCATTAGGAGGCACTGTCCAATTTGTCTTTCAAGATTCACCATTTTATAAACACTTTGCAGACCAGTTCTCTTCTAGAAGCACACTTGAACAGAATCCAGGGCAGTGATGGATTGTCTTTCTTACTTGCGATCCGTTTTCATTGAGCGACACTGACTAGCCAGGAACAGCCTCCAAGAAGACACTGCAGGTCTTTTCTTGGGTTCACAGCTTTGAGTCCACTGTTGGCTAAATGCTTACAACACGAGTGGCTCCCCGTTTGGGTTTTACGTCCTCATCTCTGGCAGCCATGTTACAAAAAGAACAGATTGGAAGCCTGGGAAGGAGTAGAATGTCACAGGCTTTTTGTCAGCCCTAATGGAGTTTTTTTTTCTTTCTTTCTTTTCCTTTCCAGTCCACAGCTGAGAATGTCATTCATTGTCTTCTCTACCCGAGGAACAACCTTGATGAAACTAACTGAAGACCGGTAAGGAGACTTCTCATCCCTGTCCTAGAAATCCACCTCTTCCTGAGTACCCCTGAGATCTGTGCTCTCCTGCCTTAGCCTGTTGAGCATTTCAATCTAATCTCTCTCTCTCTCTCTCTCTCTCTCTCTCTCTCTCTCTCTCTCTCTCAATTTAACCCTTGAACCTTGCATCCTGCCTTTCTGCTAGTTTACTCTACAGTAACCTTTGATACCTGATGTTGGTGAAATTTTGCAAATGACCAAATCACATTAAGATAAATCTTACATTGGGTAACTTAGTTTATTAACTTGGAGCAAAATAACTATAAGCCAAATTTTAAGGGAACTATATTTTCTTTATTTAACTTAAATTAGATTTATCTTATGAATTAAGAGTCTAGGGATGTAATAAGTGTACCAAGAGAGAGATAAGAGCTTGAAATATTGTC